CTGGGTACATTGCAGGAATTATAGCTGCATGACTGAATTTTTATTGTACTATCACATTACTCTTGGCTGATTTAGTGGCATTTCTTTTGTACTGCAGATCACTTCCTTCTCTTTTCAAGAATAGTTTCCACTAGAGTTTGGATATGATTAATCCAGGACACATTTAAATATGCAACTCAGCGTATTCTACTTCACATTTTGAAATATACAGTTAAATATTACAAACACATATATAATTGTGTCTGTGGCTGGTGTTAGCTTTACTACTACTGACAAATCAGAAAGTTTAGATCTTTCTGATTTTGATCTTGATGACTTAACATGCTAGTAAGAGCCTGCAGTTGTCCTTAAAATGGCTAAAAATTGAAACACAGTAATATTAAAATAGTTTGTATGTAACACCAGCAAGTTTACCTGCATTGCCAGACAAATAAAACAGATCATACGTGTGTTTATATTAAGTTCCCTAGCTACGGTAAAAACCTTGAGCTAAATCACACTGTGAATTAATACGTCTTACAGTAAGATTAAATATGCATGAAGAAATATTCTAGGCTATGTAGAAAGATAAAGATCTTTATAATAAGTAGTATTCCAAAGCCAGTTTCTTTTACTTTTATTCCTCCTTTGTGGCTATGAAGATGAAATAGAGACAGAATTCTCTTCAGTTATTTTACAGTTGGTTTCTCAGGTATTTGAAAAATAGTGCTGCATTTTTGTATTGAATAATGGAATTTGACATCAGAATGTCTAGAAAATTTACTTCAGCTGGTAAACACTGACAAGGGAAATTTTCATTTGTTCATCAAGGAAATTGTTTTACTGCTTGATAAGTAAAATCCCATTAAACTGTGAATAACAACAATAAATATCTCTTTTGCATTTCCTTTCTTTTCAAGAGCTGTGCAGAACGCAGCTCTGGAATTCAGAAGATGAGGTATAGTAGAATAAATCTATTTTACCTTTATTTTTCTGTTTAAATGGTAGCACATTCCAGTATGATGCTTTGAAGTCAAGAGAAGTTATTTTAATTGCTGTTGTAGAAGTATATGATACAAACTAACCCCTTTAAATTTGAATGTGGCAGTTTTTCAATTTTAAGTGGCCACTTAAAATTAGTGTTGTTGATATATATGCAAATTGATCAGCAACTGTTTAACAGTACCCAAAGCGTCCTTGCTAAGAAGAGAATTGCTGAAATTCACAGGAATGAGATGAAAACTGTTTATTTTAGCCACTGCAATTCTTTACCAATGCTGCCATCTACAGAATCTTTCAAATGTTACATTGCTGTCCCCTTAAAAGAGAGTATTATCAGTTCTGTGAAATCTTTCCATTAACTCCTCTGAAATTACAGATATTCATTCCTCTACAGAGCCAAGTAAATTATATAGGATATAAATTTGGATAGGATATAAATACTAAGTATATGGCTTAGTATCTGGTGGAATTCTAGCTTACAAAGGAAGATGATTCCAAAAAATTGTTGAGGTTTTCTACTACCTTATGTGATAGTGTTTACGTCAAGATGAGAGACTTGTTTTATTAAAAACATGAAAAGAAAATAAAAACTAAAGAAATAGGAGCTCAAATTTCTTTTGATACTAGAAGACTACTTCAGGGAGATGTCATACACAGTTGCTATATTAATTTTTCTCTGACAAATCTTCATTATTTGCCACTACAGGATTAATAAGACTCACAGAGGGTCACTGCTGATATATGAGGAATAAACAGCTGAGGTGCAATTTAGTAAAGACTGAAATATAAACGCAGACGGCCATTATCAATAATAAGTATGTTAGAATGGAATATTTGGCTTGAATCAGCTTTCTTGGGCCTGTCTTCCATCGAGGGCTTTATCTTACAATACTCTATTAAGGAGATCTTGAGAAGGTCAAAACCTTCTCTCCTAAAGTCCAGAGCTGTAAGCTTCTTATGCACCTCCTCACTGTCTTAAGGATCTTGAACTCCACCATGTCATTGTCAAGGTAGCAGAGGCCAAGGACCTTCACATTCCCCAAAAGCCCAAACTTGTTAATGGGAACAAGGTTCTGCATAGCACCTCCCCTTGTTGGCTCTTCTATCACTTGGAGAAAGAAGTTATTATCAGTGCATTCCAGGAACCCCCTGGATTTCCTATGTCCTTCAGTGTTGTCCCCCCAGCAGGTATCAGGCTGGTTGAAATTCCCCTGAAGACCTGGGCTTATGAATGTGAAGCTGCTCCTATCTGCTTTTACAAGACTTTACCTGCTGTCTTTGTAGTCAGGTAGTCTGGGGCAAACATCGATTATAATATCTTCTAGCCTAATGTAATAATAACTCACAGAGTTTTGGTCAGCTCCTCATCCATCCCCACGCAGAGCTTCATGCACTCCAGTCGGTCATCAACAGCAGGGCAACAACGCTCCTCATCTCCCCTGTCTGTCTTTCTTAAAGAGCCTGTTTCCTTCCATTACAGCACTGCAGTCATTGGAGCCATCTCACCACATTTCTGTGATCTCAATAAAATCATCACCTTCCAAACAAACGCACATCTCAAACTCATCTTGTTTGTCCCCCATATTGCATGCATTACTTGCCAGGTACTTGAAAGAAGCACTCCAACATGTTGTGCTCCTAGAAAGTGTTTGGAGGATTTCTCCATAATGGTGGCTTGTGGGTTATGGAGCAAATCATCTTGGATGAGATTGCATGGCATGTGCGCTGCGTCCAGGGGATCAGGCCCAGCCAGCACGGGTTCATGAAAGGCAGGTCGTGCTTGTCCAACCTCATTGTCCAAATGCTTCTTCAACTCCAGCAAGCTTGGGTGGAGAAGCCCTTTCCAGTGTTTGACCACCCTCCCAGTGAAGAATCTTCTCTTGATATCCAATTTGAACCTTGTTCTATGATTCTATGACTATGATGCAGGGGATAGTAGTTAGAGGGTTTTTCATCTCTCATGTGAATGTTTTTATAAAGAACCAATATATATTTTTAGTGCTTGTTAGGTGGGTTATTACTTTATTTCTGTCAGCTAATATTTATTTACCTCTAACTTCTGAAGTCAGAGTACTATCTCTCATTATTGTGGTTCTAGCTCTACTGCCCTGTTTAGTCATTTCACCTGATCTATTGCTGTGAAATCCACATCATTATCCTGTATTTTCCAGTTGCTATTATTTGTAAAACCTGTATTTGTTCTTACTCTTTGTTATTCTCTGATTTTTTTTCCCCCTCATAAATTTCTGCTGTCCTTTTCTCATACTTCTTTCCTTCTTTTGTGCACATTCATTAGTCTCCATAACTTAATTTCCCTCCATTCTCTTCTGGTCCCCTGGGCCATTCATTCCTCTCTGTCTCCTTTTCTTTTGGCTCCAATAACCACCATAAATCCAGAGATAAGATGTTCAATCTTGATAAACAGCTGGTCTTTTTAGCAATTTGCCATCCACGAAAAGTGCAAACTGGGCTTTGAAAAATCTCATGATAATTAATTACTCTGCCAGAGTAAGGTTAAATGCGGGGCAAAGAGTTTGTTGAGGACCAACAGACCCTATTTTATAAAGAAAGCTTTTAAATAAAACAGAGAGGAACCCTCTAATTGCATATGTACCCAACCCATTTGTTTTATGTTTGTGTTACTCTCTTTTTTGTTTTAACATATATCTATAAATAAGTTTTGTTACTTATATACATTAACTCTATTATATATTTTATGTGCAGTCCAAGACAATTCCTCTTCACTCACTGTGGCCCAAGCAAGCCAAAAGACTGGAGATCCATGCAATATGTTTACCAGGTGAAGGAATTACTAAGAGAATGACAGTCTTCTTTTAGGCTGTTGTGGGCATGGATTAAAAATTTTAGAAACAGTTTCCAGAAGCTATATTCTCTTTGATTTCAGCCTACAGATAGCAAATGCTGTCTTTAATGGGATTTTTAAACCGTATCAATGGATGAGGACTGACCATCAAGTCAGAAAAAGTTCAACTCATCAATTTTGTGTTTGAAGCTTGCTCTATAGACACAACAACAAGAGTGGCTGGACTTTGGCAGGCAGATTGAAATGGGAGCTATTTAACAGTAACCAGAGTTCTTCAAAAGATGTGAAGAGAACATTTTGAAAGAAATTCACATTTCTGCAATACTATTTTGAACCCAAAAGCTTGAACCTTCAGAATAGAAGGTGCAACTCATACTACACCTCTTTGCACACAGAAGCACTTCACTCTCTTAGAGGAAAAGTCCCTGAACATGTAGCACTTGTGTATGCACAGTGTCGGATACTCATTTGTACAATTTCTTATAGAAGAAAATACCTTGATAAAGGATTCCTATAATTAAGTGTGAGAGACAAAAGACAGGCAGATTGAGGACACGTTTCAATGGTGATACACTGGAAGAAAACCAGGGAGAGCAGACAACTGAATATTGTCACAGGGATGTAACAGGAAACATTCTCGGAGCATCCCTATCGAATAGCTAGTGAAGTGAACAGCTGCCTCCCCACTAATATCAGCGCAGGTTGGATAAGATCCCAAATGCTTACAGTTTCTGGTGTACGTCTGATCTCTTAAATATATGCCCCAATGTACTTCATTAAGGTGAGCTTGGGAATTGAACTAAGGAAAGAATCTTTTTAACATTGCTCTGGAATGCAATGTACCCAACAATGTACCCAACAATGCCTAGCTGCCTCTGAGTTTGGTTGACTAATTTGGAAAAAAACAAACAAAGAAACAAAGAAACAAAGAAACAAACAAACAAAAAAAAAAACAGAGGGAAAAAAGGTGATGAAAATAAGCAAAGTCAGAAAGCAATATCTAATATTTCATAGTTTTAAATGATTTGCTTTTTTTAATAGAAAATAGCACCACTTATTTATGAAATAAAATCTGTTTTTTACTGTGTGACTTTATTTCACATTACTTTCATATGCAACAAAATACTGTGTTTTTTATCTGCCTGGATATTATTATCAAGCAACTCTATGTACACATGCTATTCACTTGACATACCTTGTTCACAATAGGTGCCACTTGTTCCTAGAGGACAGTGGCACGTGTAGCCATTAGGCAGTGGCACACAGGTACCGCCTTGCTTGCACAGATGTGGAGGATCATGCTCTGGATCACATACTGTCACCATTTCTGTGCAAAATGCACCTTTCCATCCTGCCAGACAGTCACAACTATGGTGGTTAAGTGAAAGGAAAGAATGCAGCGTTATTTCCAAAAGAAATCAATATTTCAGTAACAAAGTAATGAAGATATTCAAGCCTTGTATGCCTATATTTAATCTTCTGCTCCAAAACAGCTAACAAAGGAACATAGTAACAAAGCTTATAATTTATCTTTTTTGATGTCTTATTGCAAGAAAACTGTATATAATACAGAACACATTATTTTTAATATTTGAATTATAGTCTCAATATCCACAAGAAACAATAATACTTGTGGATTTTTACTGTGTGTTTTGCTCTACAAATAACTCAAGGTAGCTTTGGTTGCATAAACTAGGATGAGTCGAAGTGCGAAGTGTCAAGCATGGTGTCAAATCAAACAGATTTCCTTATATCAGTAAACCGGGGATTCAACCTGAATCGGTGAAGGTGCACCTGAGAGCAGGTGTCTACATTTAAGATGAGTATCTACTCAATGGAGACGAGAGGCTCAATTAATTTACTTAATGAGTTAGGCCAACAGAGATGAGGCAGATGTTTAGTGCCAACTAAAGCTCCTTGGGGTATCCCATCTGGCCTCTGACTACAGTTCCAGAAGGACAGTAGTCAGGTTCATAAAGGCTTGTGTTGGCCATATCAGGTCAGCCCAAGCTACTGGAGATTTCTGGGTATATTTCTTCAGTTTCCCATGTATTGGATCTTAAAGATGCTGAGTAATGGAGGAGATCTCTTAATAAAGGTGACTTCAAACAAAGGCATTAGGAAACTAAAGCATTATGAAATACAGTTTATCTTATCTTATCTTACAGTTTATCTTATGCTATAAGGCAAAAGTGGAGTGTGGAAAAAATTAAGATTGGAATAAAATTAATGGCATTTAAACAAAGAGTACAATAATTTGTTGCAAAAGTCATATCTGTCATATATAAGGCTGTCATATCTTACTGATCTAAAACATAATAAACACAGAAATTGCTTTTCTTCTTACAAACTATAAAAGCATGTCCTTTCATTGAAAATTGGTTATATCCTTGCATTGAAATTTGTTTTGAATGAAATCAAACCTAATAATAAAAAAACAGCTTATTTCATGGGTTATCCCTGTACAGTATGAAGACAGGATTTAATTTCCTGAGCCCAGGCTGCCAGTGCTATTTGAAATGTTATAGAATACAGAGAAATCCACATGTGTCTCAGAGATACGATAGAAAACTTATAGAAATCCTGAGCTGTTCAAAGATACAGCTGAAGGACAAGCAGCCTACCCAAGGGTATCTAAAGTGCCAGTATAGGCTTACATTCAGCAAATGCAACCCTACCCATGATGCATGATGTTCTTTTCAAAGTATAGAGAAAACATACTCTCCCTCTCACTTCAGGAACTTTATGGAATAGCCATAACACTTCATAAACAATCTTGTTAGATGTATGTGAGCAGCCCTGAAAGGAATGCCTCCTATTTTATTATGTTGGCCCACAACATCAGAGGCAGAAATTTGTGCTATGGCAGCAGAGGTTTAACCTTCCCACCAATATTCCATTACATTTTTTTGTTGTGTGACAGATGGCAGCAGAGGGGCAGTCTGAGCAAATGGAGTTTGACATGGAAGCAAAGATGTGTATGTAACAGAATTCCTCCATGTGGAAATAATTGCACCCACTGACATTCACTGATGCTTGCTGAACATTTATGGATACCAAGCAGTAGATGTGTGCACAGTGAGGCATTGGGTGGTGTATTTCAGCAGTGGTGACAGCAACGTGAAACATAAGCCATGTTTTGGACAGCCATGCAGATTTTTATGAGCATGCCATGCAGACTCTTGTTCATTGTCAGTGAAAATGCGTAGATAATGGTGGTGGCTGTGTTGAAAAACAGCATTTTGTAACAGGAAATTTTCTTTATCAAATAGTACTATTATGCTATTTGTATATGTCGTAGTTTTCATGGAAAAAATAAGAGACATTACTTTTGGAGAAAGATAATTTTTTGTTATGTATAATTTTGTGCTATAAATGAAATAGTGGAGCATATTATTGTTTCTTGAACTTAAAATTCTTTACTTTATTATTCAAATATTTCCTCTTAATTCTGTTAAACAATGTAGCTTTGCTCAGATTCTGGCCCGAATGTAAAGTTTAATGCTGTGTATTACTGCTTCTATATAAATCAAAGCATTTTCCCTGTAGAAACTGAATTTACATGGCACTGCACGCTTTCTGGCAGAGTGATGGAAGCAAGACATAAAAATAGTTCAACACAGCAAGAAAAACTTCTGAGGAAATCTCATTTCAGGACAAAAATATCCGAACTCAAATCGAGGACAATGCTTTACAGAGGAACACAGATGATTTAAGAACAGAGGGAAATTCTGCTGAAAAATGCAAGACATTACTGACAGCTACTATACATCAGTAGAAGTCATGCGCCTGCTACATTCACAGGTTTTTTTTTTTTTAATTGAATTTTTATTTATTTATCTTGTGAGAAGTGAAACTGGCCATTACTGGTACATACATGCCTGTATAAATATAGTCTGTGACAACATAGCTGCTCTGAAATATGAGGGCAGGAGTATAACACAGTAGGAGATCAGTACAGATCAAAACCAAGCAAACAGCTCACCAAACTAAATGCAAATAACCTCCCAATTTTACAACAATCCCTAAAGAAGTCTGCAATAGAAAATATTAATCTAGACGAAAACGAGCTTTATCTGCAATTTTAGAGGTTCCAGTACAGCTCAGTCACCAACTGCTACTTTAGGTTGTCACCTCTATTCCAGATGTTCTCTTGATCTTGCTAGTGGTAGCTTTGTATACCTTACAGACATGAAGATGGTGCTGGATAAGTTCCTGAAGCTAGGACTTAATGCTGGTACAGGAAGACACATGGGAGGTGTATACTTCAGTTCATGTTTCTGCTATTTATGGTTGCTTTTTGATTTTGTGACTTCTCTAATATCGCTATAAATGTCTTCTCCTTTCTTTTTCTTCAGAAAGATCTAACAGGCTGACAGCTAAGGATTTAATAGTCCTGAAAGGAACCTGCAATATCCAACAGTTGTGACATGTATAGCTCAGCAGTTGGAAAGTAATTCCAAATTGTGTTTTTCAGACCTTTCAAAGCATTTCTTCACTACTGCATTTAAAAGCATATAAGTATGCTCTTAAGAGAAATGGGGAGGGGAACTGAAAGCTGTGTCTCGGGGGTGAATTTTCCGATATGTAGTAAAGCCTTAATAGCTTTAGAACCAGGTGTTTTTTTGGTTTTGATTTTTTTTTTTTTTTTTCCAGGAGCTTGAACAGCCCACTGAATTTCTACAACAGATCCCCAGCAAATGTCCTATCAACTTTAAAATGTTGGGTTTGATTTTCATAGAATCGTATCTTAGAATTGGGTTGGATGAGACCTTAAAGCCCAGCCACAGGCAGGGCTGCTACCCACCACATCAGTCTTCCCAGGGCCTCATCCAACCTGGCCTTGAACTCCTCCAGGGATGGGAGTGTTGAAATGAAATGAAACCCTTCAGTGATTTTCTTGCTTTCTGATATGATAGATTTCTGAAGATTTCTGTCATCAAGCAACTAAATTATCGTAGTTACTAAGCCTAGTGATCAGTCTGTGCCGTAGCCTAGAAAGAAATTTTTTATACTTACTAAACAGTAGAGCCACTTTCCATGCACTTCCCACCATTTCTGCATTTTATTAAACTGCATGGAGAAGCTTTACATTGCCCCACACTGCGACCAGAATTGGGGTGACCTTCTGGATTCCCTGGTGATTTGAACTCCTGATTCATGTTGGTGCGAACTTGCACATCAAAAATGCAACCTTAGAGGTAACAAGGAGAAAGAAATGGATTTTAAAAAAGGTGCAGGAAGACAAAACAAATCAAACAACAGTACTCTGTAATCTGTCCCTGAATGGGTTCCACCAGAATGTCTTCTTGATGGATGGGCAATTGTACCACCTCCAAAAGCTGAAGTTATGCCGGCTATTTTCTGTTCAGTACATGGGTGAATGATTTTAAGACCCTTCATTAATGGTACGTAAAAACAGCAGAAGTAATTTCTCAAGGGGCAGACAGAATGATAAGTCAGAGACTAATGTGAGAATGATGTGGGTCTAAATTTGTATTTTAACACATACATGCTTTTATAAGAATGCAACTACATCAGGTAAAAAATGGTCTTAAAAAAAAGTAGGACAAAGGATAGTTCAATGTCAAATATATAAGAATCCAGACAGAACCAACTAACAGACTGCAGGCAGAGAACTTGAATTGCTGAAAAGGACCTCTTAAAGGGGGGTGAATGCTTCAATTCATGATATGAAGACTTCAACTAATTGCATTTATTTTTTAAAATTCACTTGATACTAGTGTTTTCAAAATTCACTGAAATCACTTATGAAACAAACTTGCATGTGAGAGACATAAGAAATGCCTAATAATGGGTTTTTCTTCAGCTCCTAATAGAAAAAAAAAAAGGACTTTTTCTATTGCCTATGTCACAGACAAGGACTTCAAATTAATTATTACCTACACAAGTCATGTGAGAATTTCAGAAAAAGATGACTGCTTTGTGCCTCACATTTATTGATAGAATTCTGATCTTGTTAAGAATGTCGGAACATTTGTCGAGACGGTTGATTTGCAAATGTTTTGATTTGCTATTATTTTCGGACTCCTCCCTTTGACCATATTATCTTTATGCAAAGAAGTATTAGAATAGCAGTTTTTACACCTTTCACTGACATTTTTCTCTGACATGAACTTTTGCTGACACTTAATATAACAGTAAAGTAAGACAAGTGTGATTTTCACCATCATCTAAAAAAGTAATGTTTTCAGAGTGGCTTGACAAATCCTAGTACACTTAATGCTCACTGCACCTAACTTTATATAATAGGACATCTTCTATGGCAATGTTATTTGAATTTATTTACAAAAAATTTTAAACTGGGATTTATAAACATTTGACATGGTGACATATTATATGCTATGTAAGGTACAAACTGGATGACCTGTGGCTTTTTTAGTCCCTCAGGGAATTACTAAGTAAGGCAGATCCATAGTAACTATGAAAAACAAATGCATCTTCTTTAGGTATCTAAATACTGAAATATGTATCTAAATCTTATAGCTCTACTTTTCTGTTTTTTTCCCTTCACTTTTGGAAAACATGCCATTAGATTACCAGAGCAATCTGCAGAAGATATATTTTTTTAATATAATCATAACTTAGTTTGAAAAACATGTAGCAAGATAACGATTTTAACAACAGTTAGAACAACTTTAGAATAGGAAGCTTTCTTAAATAGGATTTTTTCTTATTGCACACATTTTGTAGTTTTGTTTATACTGTCCCATAAGTGGTAATTCAAAAACTCACATTAAGCAATTTAAAAAACATACAATCAAGTTTGATGTTTATTTATTTGTAATCTTCATATCATATTCCTTCTCCTTTTAATGGTGTTGATTTTAGGCCACCACATAACTCAGTAAATCCTAACCTTTCATCTGTTTATCAGATAAAGCATGTTCTGTTCTCTTGAGTCTTGCTAGAGTGGTTAAGAAAAGGCTGCCCAGAGCTCTGTGTAAACAATGGAAAGCACAGTGAGTACCCAAGAACTGGTGAGGCCATAATGGAAAATTATGACATTCATGACTACGACTTATTTGATTGTCCCAGCAGAACACATAGGTCAGAAACAGTTCTCCAGCATTTATAAATAAAGCATATAGGACATATTAGAAAGGTTTTTGGCAGAACTTTATGAATTCAACTGATTTTTTTCATTTACTTTTCTTATTTCTTCTAACTGTTGGTCAGTGAGATATGAATGAAGGACTTTAAGAGCAACGATTTGTGCAAGCACTATACAACTTTCTATGGGGGGGATCAGCTGATGAATGTGCCTTCCTTCTGACCTGGATCCTTTTTACTCTGGAACAGTTCTGGGCCTCCTATAAAGAAACACTGCCAAATATTCTGAATAGTGGAGAGGTTTTCTGGCACAGACAAGTTTGCAAGAGGAACACAAAAGAAGTTTCTGACTTCGTGAGTTGAACTCAGTTTCATACCAAAGATCAGCATTTGATGCAAGTTAGCTGAAATCAGATGTATTAAGACAGTGAACACACAGAGGATATACTTACTACCTTTGTGATTGCAATCTTTCACCCTGTGGCTCCGTAGACCACATCTGGGGCTTCCTATCAACAAATTTTTTACTCTAAATTTAATTAATAGCTTTCACCCCAGTCAAACAGTTTACAAATCACAGACCTTTTTTTGACTCCCCCACCCACAATGCTATCTGCCACTGTTGTTCATCACATCTTAAGTGGTGTCTGCTACTTCTCTGGCTGCCCTGAATAAAAGGACAAAAGAGTTTTCTACCTTAGTATAGTCATAGAAGTACAGGTATAATATTGTATATTTTTGTCTGCTTTCCCTGTAGCCTATCTTGAACTATCACAAACATTTAATTTTAACCTGTACCTAAATAGCTGATGTCATGATGCTCTCCTCACCTGTTCATGTCTTGGTTTGGTATCTCTCAGATTATAGATTCCTTATCTTCTGATCTTGGATCACAGAATCAAAGAATTGCTAGTTGGAAGGGTTAGAAGGGACCTTCAAGGTTATCTAGTTCCAAACACCCTGCTATAGACAGGGACACCTCTCCTCTAGACCAGGTTGCTCAAAGCCCCATCCAGCCAGGCCTTGAAAGCTTACAGGGAGGGGGCATTCACAACTTTGCTGGGCAACCTGTTCCAATATCTCATCACCCAGTAAAGAATTTCTTCCTGATGTCTAATCTAAATCTACCCTCTTCCAATTTAAAGCCATTTTCCCTCATCCTGTCACTACATGCACTTGTAAGAAGTCCCTCCTCAGCTTTCCTATAGGCCTCCTTCAGGTACTGGAAGGGACAGTTACCAAGCAGATGCACTGCCTTTTAAGTCAGCCTTGCATGTAGACTTTGTGCTCAGTGTGATGAGAAGCTCCTCACTATTTGCCATATATTATTAAGGCATAATAATTAGCAAACAAGAACAGACCTGAAGTTTGTCTTGCCTCTCTAGTCCACTATCTAGGTTGCACTTTTAGCTCTGGTCTCTGCTGTCTTCTCATTTTTCTGGTTTCTTCCTTGATAGATGGACAGGAGGAATCTGATGCACAGTTTAGCAGGGATGGAAAAGAGTATAATCTTTACCTTGAAAGCCGTTCTTAAATCTGGATCCCTTGGGTAGGAGTTCTGCATTATACTCATGATAGCCCCCTAAATAAAACTGACTGAAGACATTGAGTCCAACCAGCCTTCCAGGAGAAGTGATAGTTTTATTCTTCTGATCATCCACCTTTCAACGAAACATGTATACTTGTTACAACAAAAGATTTTATTTGGGAAATACTAGTGAAAAGAGCCCTCCAAACTTAACAGGGAAACATAATGCCATCATTTTTACACTTTAATATGGAGGAAAAAAAAAAACAACAACAAAACACACCATAATTTAAACATGCACCCTTCCTCAACAATTTCTTACCTTCAGCCAGCCTTTCTGGAGATATCTGCCAAGCTGGATGACATGAATATTGAGAGTCAGGTCAAGTGGTTTGCTAATGATTGTTGCTGTGCCAGAACCTAGATTGTAGCTATATACTACTCTGCCATCGCAGAGGCCTAACACCAAAAAATCATCTCCATTCAGACCTGAAAAGACAAAGCAGAGTAGCTACTTATGTCAGGATTCAGTGAATGCTGACTCACAAAAAATCCTCCAAATCCACTGAATACATCAGTTTGTGGTGCGCTTCCACCCACTTTTGCCAGGCTCAGCTTCACTGCCTCACTCCAGATTCTTTCCCTCCCAGCACCAAGGGGTGAACTGGGGTGGGAGGTAGCCCTGGCTCCTTTTCACAACGGATGCAAGCCAGTGTTAAGCTACAGATCTGAGAAATGAAGAAGGAGATGTATACACTAGGAGAAGGAGAAATCCAGAGGACTGTTAGTCTGAGAACTGTGAGAAGTTCAGTATGAAGTGAGATAGTAGAACAAGACTTCCGGCTTTGTGGAGGTAAGAGGAAGAAGATGTTAGACATGGCTGGCATTGTTCATGAAAAAAATTAGATACTGATGGTAATAAGCCAAGTTTCCACCTCACAACTACATAATAATCTCAGAATGTAGTATTCTGGTTAATAACAATGACACCATGGAAGATCCACTAAGAATTTGTTTTAATTTTCAGCTTAGCTAAATATGGCTGCAAGAACAATGCTCACTATAACTTTGACACTACAGGGTATGACTTGCAGGCAAGCCTTTCTGAAATAGACTTTGGTGCAAATAAACAGTCAATTTTTTGGATCTATATTATTATATTAAAACAAATGTTCTGCATTCTGCTTTGATTTTTGCAGCTGAAAAAGAAATACATGTTATTTTTCAACACCAATGGTGTTTATTTTATATTTGACTTTTTTTCTAACCTCAGCAAAGATAGTGGACAAATTGGTCTTTATTTGGTTGCTTCCTACAATTTCTTTACCAACAGTCTGAAATTCAGCTTCCAAGGTTGCAGAAATATTCATAAATTCTGTGGTTGGTTTTTGTCATTGAAAGGAATGTTCTAAGCATTTGCTTGTGTTTGTATTACAGAAGTGGTATTTATTATTTGTTATCCCCACCACTGCAAGGGTGATGAGACATTGGAACAGGTTACCCAGAGAGGCTGTGGATGCCCCCACACTGTGGCTGGATGAGACTTTGGGCAATCAGGTCTAGAGGGAGGTGTCTCTGCCTATAGCACGGGGGGTTGGAAGTAGATGACCTTAAAGATTCTTTCCAACCCAAACCATTATATGATTCTGTGACTATTACTAAAACTTAGTGATGGGAACACTGATTTCTGAAAACTGCTTTCTGAATGGCAACATGAAAATGGTTTTGCAGTGACAAGTCCATGCACAGTTTCTAATTGAACAGCTGAAAATGACAGACAAAATTTCTACCATCCACAATCCTATCTCACAGCTCTAAATACAAACGCCAGCTCATATTCTAATTGTATAAACAAGTACGGTATAAATAAGTAAAATACCTTCTATGATCTATAAATTATAGAAGTTTCTACCCTGAGTGCTGTATGTTTGCAATAACATTTCACTAATTTTTTCTCAACATTCATCAGTGTAGTGGATCCCATGCTGTTAGTAGTGCTAAAATGGACAAGACATGAGTATCACAATGTACCTCATTCATCTCTGAGACTGTGCCAGCATTCTACATTCAGAGATACGTAAAGCACTGTTAAAAACTCAGTGCAGATATTGTAAGCAGATTTATATAACATGCTTCTCAACTGTGCTATTCAGACCAAGTGGAATACTTTCCTACACATACACAGTTGTAGCAATATAATTATATTGAGTTAACTTGCACTGAGTGACATCAGAGTTAAGGGTTAGTATTTTACACAAAGAACACAGAATCCAATCCTGGCTGCCCCCGGGGTGTATGCCATTCTTGGGCCATGGAAGTGCAGCCTCTGTGACAGCAGTAGCAATTCATGGATGCCTCTGTGGCAAGTTGTTTGAGGACACAGGAAGAAGAAATGACAAGGTGTCTGTGACATGCTGGATAGCTGAACTGACTTTCCATTACAGTAAGTATCAGTATAAGGAGATTTGAGGCAGCATCTTCCAAAACTGATGTCCAAATAAGTGCAATCAATCTTGAAATTCATGCTGATGACTGAAAAAAGAATTTTGTTTTCATATATTTTCTTCAGAAATCTGCTACCTCAAGCATCAGATTACTAGTTTCTAGTGTTTAATTTTAGTAGCTATACTTCTTTATGGAAAAAACCCAAGCATTTCTACAGTCTGATTGCTTACTTTGCACTTTCTGAAAGTAACTATTGAAGAGATTATCTCCTTCCTAAAGATGTTATATCACCCTACTTGTATGGGGAATATTTTAAAGTCTGCAATACACCATAATAAAAAATCTTACCTTGGCCCTTCTGTCCAGTGAAAAATATCAAGTTGTCTTGTAAAGCTGAGTGGTGGTTTAACAACTGAAATTTTAAGTGGAATTCATAGTTGAAGGTGATATTAGGGATTGTAGCGTAAGCTAGGAATGAAGTATATCCAAAGACATCTGTGCCACTGAAACTAGGCTGGGTAATATTAATAACTACATTAAAAAAAAAAAAAATCAGCGTTAGAGCAAATTCTTTAACGTGTATTTGAAATTTGCATTTAATAGTTTGCTTTAAAATTTAAAAGTAAGTAAATAACACACACAAAAAAGTTATTCTGCAGTGTTTTACATATGTGTACACCTAATTTGTCCTTTCCTGTATTTTTATAAACAAGCTTCCTTTACAATGTAATTATTAGCAACTACTGCCATCTCCTGGTCTCTATGTGGCATTGTTATAAATAAAAGTACACTGCAATATTTACTCAGAGGTCATACAGACAAAAGAAAACTCACAAACAAATTCTCCTCCTAAAAGTAAAGCCATTATTATGCATCTCCAAGTGAAAGTGAGCAGGGATGTGCTGAAGAGGTTAAAGAACAGTAATTCTTCATAGGTAGGGAAAAACATATCATGAAATGATGAATTTGCAGCACAATAAACAGGACTTACATGAATTACATTGTTCCACATTATTTGCTGTACCATTTGAATTGGTGGTTGGGCTAGATGGTCTTAGTGGTCTTTTCCAACTTTAATTCATCCTATGATTTCATAAATTAAATATCCAGGAATCAAGTTTATAGAAAAGTCTAATTTACAGTACTGGCAAGTTATTTATCTTTTTTAAAAACACTTTTTAGGTTCAATTTGATTAAAAAAAATTACTTTCTGTTAGGCATTAACCAAGTGAAGAAAGTAGCATTAATATAAATACCTTTGAACATCTGGCCTGAAATAAATGAAAGAAACAATCAATTGTAATCATGCAAATTATAACATCGTCTTTAGTCTGAGGAATATCTTTTCAAATTTTCAACCTAGGAAATTTACCATATTGACACTGAACACATTATTATCTGAACCTGACAAAAGGTGCAGACATAAGCCTGTGAGAAACTGTTCATGGCACAAACTTCAGGTCCTCAGCAGTACACTGTGTACTGTCCCATTTATTAAGCACTACTTCAGATGTGGCACATTATGCCTTCTGTTTTAAACAGGAGCCAGGAAATTTCCACATGAAGTGGTTGCTTTCTCCTAATTACATGAAAACTGGCAGAGAGTTTGTTCCTCTCAACCCAGTCTGCTTGAACGTAACCTCAGGTCTTAGACCTTTATGAGTAATGTGGATTGGAGGAGAAATACAACTCCCATATTTAAATTTGGTATTGGCTGCAGTCCACTAGCATTCCCTCAGACTACCTCAACGTGCCTATGGAAGGCTCAAATTTTGCATCTGCTTTAGTTTCTCAGCTAACTATGACAGATAGACAGCTCCTTTAATAAGAAGCCTTGTCTTTCTCTTCTTCCCTTTTCCCTTTCCCTTTCCCTTTCCCCTTCCCCTTCCCCTCCCTTTTCCCCTTCCCCTTCCTTCTATTCCATTCCATTCCATTCCGTTTCATTCTGATTTACTATAGGAAAGACACATCTAGATCATTAGCTTTCTAATTGAAAGCAATTTGCACAAATAGAATTGGTGGCAGTCATCTGACCACTGGAGGGCATCTCAGGTAGACGTTTGCAAAACAGCTGACTATCCCAGGTTATATCTTACACCAGTGAAAATTCATTTAGGATAGAGTTTTCTTAATCTAAAACACATCACTTATGTAGGTCAGCTGAACAATATGTTAAAATGTTTATTTGACCCCCTCAAATACTAAAGCAGCCTTGAATGGTAAGTCAGAGGGGAGAATTATAGATTTCTAAAATTATGTGGCACGAAGCCTACCTTGTGTGTATCCTGCAACAACCTAATAATGATCTGAATGTCCTTTGTTCTCTATTGCCATAAAAACTGAATGATTCAGAAATTCTGAAATAATCCTCCGTGAAATAAAGAAAACACTTTTTTCTTTTTTTCTGGTCTTTAAGACTGGGAATTGTAGGACACCCAGAAATTAAATTAATTGTTCAGAGCCACAAAGCCAGAAATGGGCTGAAGAACTGAGTACAGAAGTCTCAACTTCAGGCTAGAGCAGTCACTAAGCATTCCTGGCAAACTCAGTTTCTCATTTTCCTGCTCCTGAATATCCGAGCACAACTCCTGTCAAAACTCCTGACAAGATGCAGTTTTCTTAATTTCCATCTTTGACTATGTGAACATCTACATTCAACCCATTATGATCTTTTGGTCCAGTTTTGAGTCTAATCATGCATATTCTGGGTCTGTGAAGTACTTTATATAACATCCAACACTGTAAGTGCTTGAGGCACCCCTGTTGTCCAATAGGTTCAGGATATTGAAGAGACCACTGACCAATGGCTTTTGGGATAAATGATTCACCTCAGAAAAACAGCATAGCAACAAATAAAAATTAGTAGAACAATTGCCCAAGTTACAGTGACAGTAAATCCAGTAATTCACTAATATGGGGCTAAATGTAGTGTCTGGGCCTGCAGATGTATGTAATCCAGGTTAGCAGGAAGGCCAGCAGGAAGTGGGGCATGGCTTCTTCTCCAGATTTGAGAGATTTGAAGAGTTTCAAATTCCCTATTAGGGCTGCTTTATTGTTCACTTGTGGAAGTGCCATCTGCACTTGTCAGCCAGCTGTCACACCCATCCTTATTCCCCCGGGGCTCTCTCTTGAGTGTACGCAGTGCTCAGATGCTACCTGAAATGGTGCTTAACACTGAGTAGAGCAGTACTTAGGTACAGCGTGGTCACCAAATGCAAAAATATCACACTGAGCAACAGTAGACTCACAGGCATATGTAGGTCTTCACAGTGTACTGCACAGTGTTGAAGGAGTTTCTGACACCTACTAAAAGTGAGATGCAGCATCTAATTAACCGGACTATCTTTAGCAGGCAGGTAAACACAGCAAGTGTTCCTAAACAGTCCTCCCTACAACGACCTCTGGGGAGCAAAATGTATTCAGATATCATAATTAATCCCAAGGCAAAAGCTTTTATTTTTCACTGATCTAATCTATCTAAATCATCAAGTGATATTTCTTCCATATTGTGTATCTTTCTGGTCTTTTAAAACTGATTTTATACCACATTTTAAAACATGATTCTTCTCTTCACTGAGTATTATGTACCGCCAGGCCTTCAACCAATCGTGAAAAAATGAAAGGTTACAGCAAATGTAAAATGTTCGGTCTTAGAGATATCTTTTATACAATAACCTTCATTAGCCTGAAATTAAAACAAGACTAGTTTGCCTCACATATTTTAACTTTAAAGTGCAAAAAGAAAAAAAATCCACAATAAATCAACTTCGAAAAATACAGTGATTGGTAAATTTGTATCAAGCAAGATTACTCCAAGTTAACTGTGCCTGACAGAGTACTTGAAGCCTTTTATCAACTTTCTGTCCTTGATCTTATCCTGTGTGTCTGTCAGTCTTACAACATTTACCATTGTTCTCTTCCGCATTTCCACTACTGAACAGGTAATAAAGTACCTGTAATAAGGCATGGTATGTTCCATTGCCTCACAAACAAATAATGACAAATTATCCCATTATATAAGTATATTAATGTAGCTGGCTGCCTACTTCCCTCAGACTGTACATTCTAGCAGATGTGAATATAAAAATGGGAGATAAAAAAAACCCCACAACACTTATAGTTTGAAAAAAATCTTAACAAAGAGAATAAAGTGACAAGAAAGAGAATAATGGTTTCATTATCTTTGAATTTTCTTGTTGTAAGTTAAAATAAATGCTTCTTTCAACATTCACTGTCAATATATCCTGGACTACAGTTTTATAATTCATTGTAAAAAACAAGACAAATCAATAGGCTAAAAAGAGGTGAAGACTTTAGGCTATATAATTACAATCAGATAACCCAGTGCTTTATGTTGAAATTGACTAACTGTGAGCAGTTACCAACCCAGTGCCTGGCTCCAGGATGAGCAGCCATATACATTTGGGATGAGTTCTAATCAATTCTCCTAAATACCAACTCACATATTTGAGAAGGGAGTATTGAAAAGGGGAATGGAAACTGCTGGCAAGCATATTTTCCAGTCTTCCAATCTATAAAAACATCCTCATAAAAGTGTCTTTTGTCATCATGAAATTCTGCAGCCACTATTTCTCTTGCTGGCTTGCAGTACAGCTTTCAATAAACCAGAGCTTACTCTAGTGGATGAAGAGAGTGAAAAATATTTCCTTTGCTGAGTGTACAAAAAATATTTTAAAATTAGATCCTTTTCTTACTCATCATGGAGGCAGCAAGAGTAGATGTTCAAGTGACAACATAAGTTCCTGATGGAAGAAACTGGCTTAAGAAAGCAAATGCATTTCTACAATTTATTATATATTCACAGATTTAAATATCATTTTGCTGGCATGGGGTTCTGGCAGAAGTCTCTCTCTGTGCATTGCAGGACATCATGGGATATTAGAAAAGGGACTGCTGGCTGGAAGGTGAAGGAAGAACTTTCTGCTACAATTCCCCTGTCCTTTGTGCAGAGGGATGGGAAGGATGGGAGCTATCCAGACACCAACAGTGGCAGTGAGAGTGAAAGCCTGCTGTACAGGCAAGCAATAGATACCAGCATAATCTGGGAAGGAGAGGCAAGATGAGGGAGATAAGCTGGTGTTTAGTTGACATGCTTTGCTAGTTCTACACAAAAGCTGTTTTCTTTAATAGTCAGTGTGCCTTCCTCACCAGAAGCTATGGGAAGTGCAAGGAGGAAAAGTTAAAAGAGGGAGGGTGGGTATTGAACTGCAGGAAGGTGCTGTGCCAAGTGGAGCTCAAGGACAGACCCATGATGTCTGGGAGGCGGTACAGGAGGGGTCTTCATAATGCCTAATTCAAGTGCATGATTCCCTCCGAAGAAAAAGGTCTCAGATATCTTCTTTGTCTTGTGGAATTGGTGGTATAGTTCTGTGGTATCCTTACGGAGCCCTTGGGCCCCGTTAGTTTAGCTTATTTTCTGTAATCATATGGACTAGTAACTTTAAGTGAGATTCGATACAATAAAACTGATTTCACTGCTCAAGGATGAAAGTACAAACCTGCAAAACTGG